TAATGGGTCTGCCCTGCAAGATTTTAAGGGCTATGGTACAGAATTACTATTTTAAAGAGCATAAATATGCTGAAAACATCTGAGCTCTCTAGTGAAATTAATTAGGAAATATACTGTAGAAATTGTAGGAAACATAAAAATTACACTGATTCCTCTTCTCTAAAAGTAAAGCTCTGTAGTTGTTTTTGTCCTATGTTTGTTTCTAGAATACAAACTATATTTTATGCAAATTTCAATGGTATACTTGAAAACGTATTATCAACATACATAATCTTCGCCCTGTTTTCAGTAATGCTTGTTTTAAGCTTCTAAAAGTGAACTGCATAACAACATTTATGATTCATAACTGTGGTACATTTTGTTTCATTATTTCCATTGTCAATTTCACAAGTATAGGAGCCAATCAGTGTGAAATCTACCATGATATTAATTATAATATTGTATTAGAAAAATATGATATCAAAATGATGATCCCAAGGACGAGTCAGGGGTCCATTTTGGATGGGATGCTATTCCATTACAGGACACATGCACAAAATAACATACTACGAACAAGTCCTGCCAATCCCTCCAACTGGATGTTAGTGAACTGTGGGAGAAATCAGCGCAACATGAGGAGAACATGGAAACAAAATGTGGAGACATAAGTTATCAGTGCAGCCCACTGGTCAGACACACCACCTCAGATCCATCTCATACCCATGGCTTTAGCAGCGGACAGAACACGTCGATCTATTTGCTAACAGCACTCATTGGCCAACCGCGGACTTTTAGGTTGCAAGGCGAAACCCTCCTGAGGCTTTCCAAACATCTACAGCCTCAGTCAACAAAATCCGCCTGCTGGTCTGCAACCATCGACGTTCATGTTCAATTTCCATCTACACTCTTCTTTTTTGGCCACAATAAAATTGCTCTGATATTTCCCAGTGTGTTCCAGGGACTATTGAAATGCATTATCCAGCTAATACCACATTACACTGGAATTTTCCTCCACAGCGTGATATAGTAAAAATCAAATAAAAATCCAGCAATGTTTTTATAAATTACACCATCGGTGTTGCCTTCATGCAGGTTCAAATAAAAGCTCTTTCCCAAGATGTTTTCGCATATATTAAACTGCAAGAATTACCACTCTGTCACTGTCCAGAGCATGGGTGATATAAAGCTTACTAAACACTGCTGTCCTCCAGCCAGGTAGGATCTGTTCATTTTACAGGACAGCCCTGTGGGCAATCGATTTACACAACAGGATTGTCAGAGATGGATGGCTCTTTGGTGAGTGAGAACGTCTGGAGACTGAAAAGTATTAACTTGCTATTATGGTTTTGCCCAATCTCTCCCATCAATAGGATACAGGGCTTGACCCTTGTAGGTATGCCTGGCCCACTGGCAAATCTTCAGCCCCCCAAGGGAAGTGGCTTACGGCAAGGTTTCCACCCCCACGTTCTGCTACAGATAACGCTGTCCGGGTGTCAGTCAGGCTGAGAATAAGAGCAGTGAATTTTCTGTGCTCAGAGCTAATGAGCGATATTTGATTCCTCTAGAAATGTAAATTAAAAAAAAAAAACAAACATTTACATCATTTTCTGGGCTATTTGGCTAGTTCTTTAAAAACGTGACAGAAAATTAAGAGAAGTGATTGCAAAACTTGGCGTCTGTGTGGGTGTCGACTGAAGCGGGAGCATTGGCATTTAGCTATCAGCACCTGGGATGGTTCCAGAGAGTGACGTTTCCCCGGTAATGCATGCCATGCGCTCGTCAAACTTGCACGAGGCTTGGTTCTTCACGCATTCCGCCTGTACATTGTCACCCCTTCTCCTGGCATCGGGATTCATATCAAACCATTCTTTCCACATCTCAGGCAGGATATTCTGCCATTTTATACATAATTAGCATCTCTTCTTCTTGCCTCTCTTGTTATGACTTGCACTTGTATATGTGAGAAGACAGGGTGTGGCTGTCTCAATAGTGAGAGTCATGTGACCAGGGATAGAGTGCTGATTAATTCCACATCCTCCATGCACTGTGTGTAAATTGGCAGGTACCAATTTATTTATTTATTTTATTCCAGCCTTAGTGATGTGGAAGACGTCACAAGATGTCGAACTCCGTGCCGCATTTCCCACCATCTTCAACCCATCTATTTGGTTTTCTTTTCAGTTTCCCCTGTTTTTTTGTATGAGTTTATTGTCCTGTCTCTATCTGGCATTATTTTTCTGTGAAAATAACACTGTTTCCCCAATAAATCCCCTTCTCTTGCCGGGCCCATTTCACACAGCTCACCACCCTGGTCTTTCGTTTTTCTCTTTACACTAACCAATCATTTTCAGAGTTTGTTAATGAAATGTATAATAGAAACCGAATGAATCTTATTTATTTATTTATGCATTATTATTATTATCTATCCATCCAACTGTTTATGCTATAACTGGGCAGTACCAGTCAATGCTGAGGTATAAGCCTAGTCGCGCCTCACCTCCAAAGCAGTCACAAATTTCTGCACTGCGTACCACCTCAGAAAGTATAACACTCTCTGCGCTTTCTATTATTACGACATTACACTTGATCGTCTAGAACAATAGAGCTTATGTTACTTTTACTGCAAGAGTTGGTGTTTGACATTTTTTGTCTCCGTGATTGTTTGCTGCACGGTGGGTTGTTGCATGATGCTGCTCTCTGCAATTTAGTCATACTTTCCCTTATATTTAGTGAATATGCATTATATGTTTTATTAGATTACTGGTGCTGTTTGAACTTGTTTTCCTACCTCCTGTTGATGTATTAACAGCCCAGTCTGACGTACTTCCACATTTTGCGGCCCCCTTTATTTTGCTTGTTATTGCCGATACATCATCGCACGCTATCGGTTATCGGTATCGGGTGCATTGTCACGAGGATGAGTACGAGTACATGAGCACAGTATCGGTATCGATGGACCTGTAGTGCAGGGTCATAGTGAGACTGGAGCCAGTCCCTAGCATTGCGTACCATATGGGGCCCAGAATCATGGAAACACACACGCCGTTAGAAAATTAGGGCAGTTGATAAACTTGTGAAGAAGAAAACCAGAATAGAGTAAACCTGCACAACACAAGGAGAGCATTTAAACTCCTCTCACACAGGGCGGAGGCGGGATTCAAACCACTGGTGGCATGAGGCAAAACACTTGGCCATTAACTCAATATTAATATACCTCTGTATATTTTTTAACAGGTGGTTTTATCCAAAGTGATGCGCATTTTTGGAAAGCAGGGTCAGCCTGCCCGTGGAGCATCTGGGCACTAAGAGCTTTGCTCAAGGGCTTAATAATGAAATCACTCTGCTGACTCTTGGATTTCAGACCTTCTGATCACAGACACAGTGCCGTAACCGCCTAAGCCACACATCACCCCTCATTATTATTATTATTATTCCTGCACCCTGTAAGAATTCATCCTGTAGATTTAAAGTTTACATCCCCATCCAGTTACACGAAGATGTCACAGAGCACATCTAGTGGAATCTGATTCGGGAAACATGTATGACGTCTTGCGGTGCAGTGAACCAGCTTGGCACCCGTTACCTCTGCTGTGGAGCATCTGCTTTCGGTTTGTCAGATCTGCTCCACTGCAGCGAGCATAAGAGAGGAAGTGCCCTAATCCCGACAAGTGAAATATTGACTGGAGCTTCCGCCAAATCACCTACAGTGTAACATCAATCACACTCGCGGAACAATGCGACCAGCACTGCTGACAGTCAAAGGAAACCGGGAAGGAGAAAAAAACAAGATAATAATCAGAATCACAATAATTTCTACTGAAGGCAGAAGCGTCAGCAAATTTGAATTGACCAGGTATAAAAAGAATCAAATGGGGACTGGCGTTACCCAATCAGATTCTGCCCTGCCGTTTGAGCTGCTGTTCAAAGCAATATGGATCTCTACAAGATATGAATTTAATTATAATCAACAATTACAATTTAGCACATTCATAATCATATCTTTTGTAGTCTGTAATCTAGAATCCTGCCCAGGATGTATCCCTACACTCTGTCCAATCCCAGGCACTCCTGCCAGCCTTTCCAGGGTAAGCAGGTGCATATCTTTAGAATTTTTTAATGAAGCTCTCTAGAGTCAAAAACTTCATCGCACTGTTCACCGTTGGTGTCTAAGTTAGTCAGACAACACTGCATCCTTCTGCCACTCACCTAACTCGTGCTGCAGCAAACCAGACTCCTTCAAAAACGCCTCAGTACCACCTTTTATCAGGTTTGCTTCAGCTAGCTCATCCAGTTCCTGACCTACTCTCTTGTTATGTTCTTGCAGTGTTCTTGTAATGTATCGTATAGCTATTGCCTCCGTAACTATCTATTATGGGTTATTCATGTCACTCTACTCCTAATTGCATGCTATTTACAGTTATTATTTACAGTGATTATTGTTTAATGTTTATTGATTAATGTTTAATACTATGCACCCCTTGTTTCACAATTTTGGAGCTACACAAGCAAGCATTTCACTACATATCACTACATATTGTGAGTCTAACTGAGTATTTTACAAATAAAACTGATTGGTTGATTGATTAGAAGCTCAGCCTAACTACACTAACGGCCTGGTTATTCCATGACAGCTGTCTGCCTGTGATGCCTTATCTGCCTCGCTTGCACGTCACTTTAGAGGTGGGAAAAAAAACAGCCAAAAACCAGCTTATACTGGTAGCTGGTAGCTCTTTGATGGTTTACCTGGGTAGGTCACCAGTTGGTCATGTTGGTGTGGCCAGCCGATCTAGCTGGTATGAGCAGCTAAACCAGCTACAATGACCATCTTAAGCTGGCAATACCAGCTAAACCATCAAACCATCATGCGAAAACATACTTTAAGCTGGACACCTATCATAAATCGATCAACCAGCTTAACCAGCAGGGGCATCTGTTAAATAAATGTAAATGTAGGAAACTTGAGCTTCTGTAGCTACTGTAGCTCAGAGACACCATGGTAACAGCGAAAATATTCTACTTACGACTCTCCATCGCCAAGATAGTGATGTTGTGCACTGCATTCACTTCTCTGTCCAGTAGTTTTGCTGTACTTATAGCTCCAGTTGTAGCGTCGATATTGAAGTACCTCTCCAGGTCTGTATTGCGGTCTATGGAATACCTAGGAGTTCGGGAAAGATGGATAAGATTATCTGAGGAACTGTTAATCCTCAAAACGCCACAGTTCAAACAAATCTTACAAAAATGCTGCTAGAAAATGATTTCTATCCATTTCTTCTAATGTTTGGGACTGGTCAAACTTATCAAGTATGTCTGTAAATATCTTGCCACACATCAGTATTAAAATGTAGTATTTTCATCACCAAAGTACAAAGTACTAAACCTTGTAGTTATTAGGTTTCGTGAGATTCGAGGTTAAGAAAATCATATTAGACCATATACTAGTATTTTTATAATCATAATAGTTAGAAGAGTAAATTATATTAACATTTTAACAAGTCCCAGAATACAGTAAAATCCTGTTATTGTTATAGTGGACTCGCTTATAACGTCTATAACAAATATCGTCTATAACGGACGAGGTCCGCTGGTCCCGGCCGTGCGCCTTTAAGAACATGCAGAAAAAGCATCGGATATAGCGGACTCCCATATAACGGACAAACAATCTGGTCCCCAGGGCCGCTTTTAGCTGTAGTTTTGTTCGGCTATAACGGACATACAGGCTCCGCCTACAAGGCGCCCGGCGTGCCGGTGATATCCAGCGCAGATACATACGTAGTCGGGATTATTAATAGTCACGCATCTGGTCAGGTAAAGTTGGATTACTACATGTATAATATAATAATCTATACCACAAGTGTGTCTGCTGGGGTGTGACATGAGTAAAGGTTGTCCTGTAGTTGTGCTTTGGTGGCGACATGGTGGTGCAGTGGTTAGCACTGTGGCCTCACACCTCTGGGACCTGCGTTTGAGTCTCTGCCTGGGTTATATATGTGTGGAGTTTGCATATTTTCCCCATGTCATTATGGGGATCCACAGGGTACTCTGGTTCCCCTCCCCCCACACTCCAAAGACATGCTGAGGCTAACTGGAGTTACTAAATTGCCCGTAGGGTTGCTCCCCGCCTAACACACTGTTTTGCCAGGTCCCTTGAAGTCCGTTATAACAGGATTTTACTGCATCAGTTAAATATAATGGATGCTTCATGAATGCCATATTCAGAATTGTTAACCAATTCTAGAATATTAAGAAATCAAAGTAATCAAATGCAACATTGCATTTGATTGAAAATGCTTCAGTTTAGACAGTTTAGACGGTTAAATGGACTAAAATCTGAATTCAAATGTCATTTTTAATAATGCAAAAAAGATATAAAATCAGTGTTCCTAATCAAAGTGTTCAAAGTATAATCCAATATTAAGCAGATTAGAAATGCATGGAACATCAGAGTGCCGTTCTTAAAATTACTGTTAAAATTAATGCCAGAAATGTACTGACTGTTGATTTACGACCACATACAGTGAGAAACATTTACCTTTCTGTTCTTGCAATGATAAATGTTTCAAATGCTCACTAGCAATGCAGGTGACAGAAAGTGACAAGTTACCAGATTCTACAGAGCTGAAAACATTTCAAACACTAAATAAATGTGGCCCACAGATGGACTATGAATTGAAGGCCATTCAAATCATGGTTGTACTGCTACCACTAACACTAGACTGTAGCTGGATCTTCTATTCAGCGCCAGTCAGCCCATTAGGCGACGTAGTCAGCTGCCTTGGGCACCTTCTTCAGAGGGGGTGCCGACTTAGCAAGCCGATTTCACTGTCTCAGATGGGGGGGCTCTGGCAGTAAAGCTTATCTAGGGTGCCACACGGGCTTCAATCAGTACTGCCTAGAATTATCAAAAGTCATTCGTTGAGTTTGTCCCATCTGTGCAATGTCAGGTTTGTCTCTTTTATGAGAACATCTGGCTTCGGATTTTCCGCTCTATAGCTAATTGTTCATTGGAACTGGGTACGGAAATGCCTGCTGAATCTTGGTTTTTTAGCCCTTTTCTTTTCTGAATCAATGAAGTTTCTTTCGAGGGAGAACAGCTCCACATTCTTAGGCACCGGCATAGCATGCAGGTTGCGTCAGTCAAGGCACGACAAGGTCGCCCACGGCACTGCACCTGCTCTCCTGCTTCTCTCCACCACCCAGCCCGTCCCCCAGTCGCCCCTAACACTGGTTAAATTAACAAGCCCACTCCCTGTAGCCTCGAGCTGGTGGGCGGACCTCACTGCGACGGCTGCTGTCCGCAGTCAATCTTTTCCAAAGAGTTGTTTTCTACTAGCATAGCCATAGCTACTATTGCGTTAATTGTTAACATAGAAATTGCTATTTGGCTTCAGCAATTATACTGCCTTTCATTAACGGAATAGGAAATGGTTTCACTTCTCTAATTATTTATATTATTCAATGTTATTCACACCTCTGGATTCCTGGACTGCAGATTATATAAAATGTTATATTCAATTAAAATGCTTCAGGGAACTCTGCCATCAGAATTAATATAAAGTTATGGAAAAAGCATTTCACTACGTAGATGTGCATTGTATGCTTGTGTGTATGACAAATAAAACTTAAAACTTGAAACTAGATTCTGGGCTAAATAAGGAACAAGCCTTTTGGCAATTTCTTTTATATATTTCATATTTATTCATTAAATATATACCACTGCAGTTCCTAGTTATACATCGATCAGCCATAACATTAAAAACAACTGCCTAATACTGTGTAGGCCCCCCTCATGCTGCCAAAATAGCTCTGACCTGTCGATGTAACAGAAAATGTGACTTGGGTGACACTCCGACCAGTCTGCAGCTACTGGGCCCAATAGAAAGCAAGCTGTGATGCACTGTGTGTTCTGCCACCTTTCTATCATAGCCAGCATTAACTTTTTCAGCAGTTTGTGCTACAGTAGCTCTCCTGTGGGATCAGACCAGACAGGCTGGCCGTCTCTCCCCATGCGCATCAATTAGCTTTGGGTGCCCATAACCGTGGCTTTGGTTCACCGGCTGGCTTTCCTTGGACCACTTTTGGTAGATACCGACCACAGCATATAAATATCCCACAAGACCTGTTGTTTTGGAGATACTTTGACCCAGTCATCTAGCCCACACAATTTGACAGTTGTCAAAGTCGCACAGATCCTTCCCCTTTCCCAATTTTCCTGCTTCCAGAACATCAACTTCAAGAACTGACAGTTCACTTACCTAATATACTGTATAATGGTGCCATTTACAGGTGCCATTGTAACGAGATAATAAATGTTATTCACTTCACCTCTCAGTGGTATTAATGTTATGGCTGATGGGTGTATGTCTACTTTGATGTTTGTGAGTGCCATCGTTGTTTATCCTGCCTAATTCTTGTCACATGGTACTGACTGCATGGCCCGACTGCATGGCCCGACTGCATGGCATGACTGCATGGCCCAACTGCATGGCCCGACTGCATGGCCCGACTGCATAGCATGACTGCATGGCCCGACTGCATGGCCCGACTGCATAGCCCGACTGCATGGCCCGACTGCATAGCATGACTGCATGGTCCGACTGCATGGCCCGACTGCATAGCATGACTGCATGGCCCGACTGCATGGCCCGACTGCATAGCATGACTGCATGGCCCCACTGCATAGCATGACTGCATGGCCCGACTGCATAGCATTCAATTGCCTGTTTTCACTTATGCGTTTCTTTAGACGGCATTTCTAACTATTTTTTTGTCTTATGTCCAGGTGTTATGTGTAAATGTCTTATATCAGGGTTGATGCCATTAACCCTAACATAATGGTTAACGGTTCTTTGCCTCCTTGGAGAGCATTTCAAAATCTATAATGCACAGCTTGGAGTGCAGTATGGACCACATTTACACCACAGTTACTACATATTTGGCTTAGACATCTGTACCTAAAGACATTATTTTCACATTTGCAAGGCAACATTATATTTATTAGTAGAATTTTCTTCCTCCGAAGATGAAACATTTTGCTTAGATATGACCCAAAAATATTCCAATGCTAAGACCATAAGCCAGTCATTAATTCAAAATTGGTTCAGTTGATTTTAAACAATGACTAGAATGTTAGTTATCATTAACGATTATAATAGTGCATCAATTTACTACTGTGGTTCCATGGTTATTGAAAATGAATTAACCCTAACCCTTCTGACCAATCAAAATGAAGAATTCCACAGTACCATGGTACAAATCTGTACATTTATTAATGTTTCTTTGCTCTACAATCAATGAGATCGAAATTGCATCTCAGTATATAACCATAAAGATACTTTGACTTTGACTGCTATGTACTGGCGTACTAAAGGCGAATGAAGAATGTTGAGCACAATAACAGATACATAGAAAAACATGAATAGGAAGGTGATCAAAGAGACAGAATAACGTTGCCGATGACCCATAAAAACAGGTGAAAGGTGTCTACCTGATGGCACTAGTAGCAGTGTCTGGGTCGTGCGCAGACACACTGCCGATGATGGTGCCCACCTTGGCGGCCTCGGAGACCACCATCTTGTTGAGAGGCGAGGTGAAGACGGGCGGCTCATCCACGTCCGCCACGGTCACCCGCACCGTCGCTATGTCGCTGAATGGGCCCAAGCTCAGAAACTGCGGGTCGATGTTCCGGTTCGTCACCTCGATCTTTAGCGCGTAGCTGGCCTTCGTCTCAAAGTCAAGAGGCTGGAGAATACAGAGAAATACAGAGAAATTTCAAATAAATGAAAATAAATGATACAAAAAAATAAAATAAAAGATTAAACTAATGACTATATATGTTCTTGCATCATAAACTTAGTCCCCTTGTGGGTAGAAAATATTTGTGCAGTCTGGCAAATCCTCAGTACCTTTCACTCTGTCCTAAAGTCATGAAATCCCAGCTGTGTTTATGTAGTAACTGTGTGATGTGTCCCCCGCTCAGATATATCATTCATTCAGACGTCTTTATTGACTTCCAGCAGTGCCATATGATGGAAAACTATTGATTGGGAGAAAAATGCAAGTCAGATTCCAGACATGTCTATTTTTAAATGGTTTTTCTCACTTGTTCATTTGTTTGACTTGTCAGACTCATAAATGATGTAATTGTAAACAATGATATAGTTGGTTTTGAATCCAGGTTGACAGCAACATGACACATGTACAATTTGTTATAAGAGCAGAAAATTTAGGCATCTCTTTTTTGTCATCTCCGCATGTAGAGGAGTACAATGGAAGCATAAAGACACAATGTCCACCACTCCCCCCCCAACACACACACACACACCCTGCAATTAACTGTAACTCCCATGTTTGTTGACAGGATAACCAGATAGGCTGAGCTATTGGCTTTGGCAGCAAATCAAATGTGCTGGTTACAGATTTAAAGAGCCAGTGCTATTAATGAACTTACTGTATTCAATAAGTGACGGTACTGCTGGGGATGTGTGCTCGATTGATATTTCTACCTTAAAGTACTCATTATGCTTCTATCTTTATCCTACTGTATGTATCTTTCAGTAGTTTGCTTCCACAACCACCACCCCCCCCCCCCATTGTTTCAAACACATAAATAAGCAACACTTGGACATTATAATTAATCATTCTAATTAACTCAGTGTAAAACAAACATATTAGCATAGTGGTAGTTACTGCTGAGGCATTTAAATTAAGAACAAATAAGTTGAGTACAAATTAAAATAGCAGTGCAACTCCCATCTGAAATGTTAAATAATAAAAAAGACTAAACTAATTAACAAATTTCAACACATGCACCACATATATGTTTTAAGCGTCACATGACAAAATTAATTAATATTCATAATTATCCTTATTTTAATTACATGACCGGCAGCATAGTTTGCAGGTAAACTCTACAGTGTGCCTTTTCCTCCCTAAGTTTGCTCATGGCGCGTGCAAATGCACCTTTTGAAGAGTTATGACTCCCTCCTGTGTGTCTTGGTCAGTCGAGATCTTAAAAGTCCCTTGGCTATCCCCATCCATAATTCTGAAGTCCATTTCTGCGTTGGAGTCCAGGTCGGCATCGACGGCTTTTATCTTGGCTACTACGGATTCTATGGGCAGGGATTCCTGTACAGTGTACTGGGAGGACTCTGGAATAAAAACCAAAAATACTTATAAGTATTACTGTACAGAAAATGTACTGAAACATGTCTGCCTTACAATGGCTTTTAGATATTTGTCCACACTACAAACTGTATAACAGTTCCTGCTGTTATTCTAACACATCATACCGATTCTACATCGTACCAATTTTGTTCCTGCTGCATGCAAAATCGATGCAGTTCTCCCTACACTTCATGCTGTGGAACTCAATATGGCCTGTAGAGCAATAAAAACACAACTATCAGGTATTGAAATTGCTGGAATTCCTTCCTAACTTGTGCCCTGTGCTTCCTGGGATAGACTCCTGTGTCCATAAGGGCTTATGGAAGATGGATGATCCACACAGATGAGAATCCCTATTTACTGTGCATAGTTTAATTGATATTCTGTCATACTTATGTAGATCTGAAGTTGCCATCACTAATATGGTAATAATAAAAATCCAACCAAAAAGGAGTTCAGAGTTCATCAGAGTTCAATGCCGAATCTACACAGCATTGTTCAGACGCTGAAAGAACCAACACAATACAATATTGTCGACAGTACAAAAGAATGAATATGGGGCATCTTATGAGCTATAAGACATGAAAAGGTTAGGCTGCCAGATGAGATGAGTCGTGCGTCCTACGAGGCAAGATCGCAGTATAAATTTGAAACCTCTATTTTCCTCAGCCTGTCTATAATGTCCTCATTCCTTTCTCCAATCCTTAATTAAAATCATCTTCATGATGATATACAAGGCATCTGCCTACACATTCACCTCCATTGGCCTGGTGTTGCCATCAGTCACACCTGTGCTAATCTCTCCAGCAGTATTTGCTGGAACAGAACTCTAGAGATGGCTCTCTAATTCACCGTGGAATAGGTGGCCTTAAATAAAAGTATATATAGTTTCTTCCTTCTTGGCCTCTTCATCTCCTGGGTTGGGGTGTGATACCAGTTCGTGGCCTGTGCTGCCCTAGACACAATCAACACCGGACAGCTGTAAAAAACTGTTAGTTCTCACCAGTGCCCTTAGAAGGGCTATCGGAAGCCCCGCCCCTCTCTGCCCCGCCCCTTCCTGTTCTGCCCCCTTAGCCACTCTCAGCACTGATAGTAATGGGTGCATAAAACAGCAAGAACTAATTGAGCTGAGACCTAACTTTTGAGGCACAAATAATGATATAATAAGCCAAAAATTGGCAGCATAGATCAGAAAGCTGATTTTTAATACTTTCCTCAATCCATCCATCTTCTAACCAATTATCCTGGTCAGCCTCACAAGGTTTTAATTAAAGTGTAATTGTTCAACGTTTGTGAAGGGCTTTGAAGAAAATGTTTTTCATGGGTGCATCACAAAACAAATTCAGGAATTAGAAATGCATGATTATGAATTAAAAAAAACAAGCCTTATACTGTACAATCATGGGGACCAAACAGACTGACAAAAAATCAGATAGATAAGCAGGAAAAATACAATTTAATTGTACTTTGTACACCGTACTTTCTACATATAAACAATAAACAATAAAACTTTGAATCTGTTTTCAAATAGATTTGATAGTTGTTTTTTTTTTTTAAAGTAATTTCTTTACTGTGGGCAGGAGTTTAATATGAGATGAGTTTGGTTTCAACTTAATTGGTGATGTGAAGAGGGCTAATATTTCTTTTATCAGCTAATCATTTTTAAAATGACTCTGGGTATCCTATACCATGAAATTATAATGTATACATAAAATAATGAATGGAACAGGTGAAAATACTTGCTTTAGACTGAGGGCAGGATTAATGCATAGGGTATAGCCTATGGCCCAGCAAACGTCACCCCCCCCCCCCCCCCAGGAAGAGCGGAAAAGTTAGCTAATTCGGCAACACTTGAGTCTCCATGCTGACATCGGCCTAGGGCTACCAGACAAATGAATCTGCCCTGGTAATGGGGAAAAAACTCAGCACTGATGAAATATGTGTAGGTCATCATGAGCTCGAGAGGGGGGATGTCTTACTTCTGGAGAAGCGAGGTGGGTTGTCGTTGACATCCGTTAGGGTGATGGTGACCGACGTGGTGCCGGATAGCCCCCCCATCTGGCCGACCATGTCCTTGGCTTGGATCACCAGCACATACTGGTCCCGCGTCTCCCGATCCATGTTGGGGAGGGCTGTCCTGATTATGCCTGTAGCAGAAAAAGTGAAGGAAACATACGAGGGGAAGAATGAGCAAGATCAGCAGTTACGTAACATGGAATTCGAACTGAGGAAAGTGAGCAGGACATGCATTAAATATCGCATTTAGATGTTTCCACGCCATTTGGGATCTTGCAATGAGGCTTTGAGGAATCTTCAGTATGCAGGATACACAGGTCCCCCTGGACACGCACGCTGTTAGTAAGCACTTGTAAATACAAACCTACAATCGGCAAAGCTTTCTGTCGAGCAACTAACAGTTTGCAAACCAAAAACATGTGCTAAAAACCTCCAAGGTCTACCGCTGCTATTCTGGAATCAGGAAAGCTCTGGATAAATAGCTTGCGCAAGCTCCGATTCCCAATTAAGGAACGATATTTAGCTTTAAATAAAAACATGCCCAGACGGCCATGCGAGAGTGGTGCACCGTCAATCACAGGTGTGTTAAAGACTTTAACCCGTGTCCACACACCTACAGCACTCTTCCTGATGAACAGTGACAATGGGACTGTAAACATCGTCCCTGATGGAGGGAGGAGCTGTGCTCATTTTAAAGCTGACAACAGGCAGAAAGTGAAATTTACCGTTTCAAGCCGCCAGTGCCCCTTCCCACCTCTCAATAAAATGCAGCAAGTAATGGATGCGATGGAACATTAGTGATATACGACACAAATTGCACCAGGGAATATATACCCAGTTCATAACAGCAGGTTGACATTGTTTTCTTGATTGGACGTAAGAACTTAATTGCCGTGGAGAGAATTAAAACCAAAAGCTGGTTATGCATATACCTATAGCAATGTTTTTCATATGTTCCCTATTTAACATTGTGGATATTAAATATACTATACACACAGAGACACCTCATTCTTGATCTGACTTAAGGAGATAACATAAAGCTCATTACAGCTGTAGCTTCCTGAAATGAAAGAGGAATGAAAAAATAGACAAAACATGAGGGAAAGAAGAGAGAGAGAGTAAAAGGTGAGAGACAGATGCTGGGAGTGAGTCGTATTGTCCTCTAGGGGAATAAAAGCGGAGCTGTTCAGAAGAATAAGTACTCAATGAAGTGTATCGTCAACACATCATGTTACTTGTTCTTAACTAAAGAGTTGAAGCTTTCAGCAGACAGGACGAACCTCCCATATAGTTCACAAAATTAAATAGCAGGACTGTTTTCGTCTTGTAAATAGTAGCAATACACAACAAGTATATATAACTAGGTATACATTATTATTTTACATCATAACCTTTCACAGCTAGCCTACAATGTTAAGCAGTTCTATTTTTCAATTCCATTATAAAGGGCTTACAATGACCTTCTTCAGAATTCAGACTCTCAGCCTTTATATGTATCCATTTATAAACCTATTGAGCTGTTTCTAGATCTTATTATCATTTCAGTTAGCACTGACATTATATGATCCATTGAACCTCACTTCTTGTTCTGGCAGTATGAAATCTGGACACTCAACAGAAAGGCTGAGTCTAAAAATCTATAAAGGCCAAGCTAGCTAATCTGACCAAGAAGCATGTAACATTTCAAACAATTGTTCATACTGTATATTCGGTGTCGATACAGGAAAACCATACTTAATAACCTTAAAGAATTTGCATTAATAACTAATAACATCAAGAAGAGTATAACTTTTCATACATGTATTAGGTAACCACACCATCGGCCCCCAATGAAAAAAATGTATTATATGAAACCATATACTTCTCAAAACAGAAGTAGCTTCCCAAATTGCAAGATTCCTCCACTTGGATGACAGACAGTCACTTCCAACTTAACTTGTCGAACATGGAACTATCCCAGTCAAGCCACCATTGCACTAAACAACTCAATGGTGACATCATCAACAACTGTCAAAAACCTTACTGTCATCCTTGACAAGAATGTCACCTTCTCACCCTCACCTACAGACATTCACCTATCCCATATGTTAGTGCATGCACAGTGCTTGATATATTTGCCCTTATTCCATAACATTGTCAACCTATCTGCTGGGCCAAGCTGTGGTACAATCCATCTCACACCTTAACTGCTGTCATTCCATCTGGCTGAGCCTCTGGCTCCGCACATGAAACCTCTTCAGCTCATTTTAAAATGCTGCTGAGCAATTTACGTCTTTACCTTCTCAAATGGTCAGATGTGTCTCTTCTCCTGGTCTCCTTCCATCGCTCTTTGCCATCTAAAGGAATGTTTTGCACACACTGACCTGTAAGTCAGTTTTAATCCTGACCTTTGGGTCACCGGTACAGTCCTTCAGATTATGGACTTTTTCCTTACTGGAGGTCGAGAAAAATATAACTACATACTGTACCATGATCCACAATAAACACACTACTTTTTCACTACTACTTTATTTATAGCAGTTCATAAAATGATTTCATTATCTTAATGTGCTCTGGTTGTTTTGTTACTTAGCTAATCATTAAAAACTAAACCATTTATCTGTTCATCCATCATCTAAAACCAGTTTTCCTGCGACTGGAGCCTCTCCCAGTAAGCACAGGGCCCGAGGCAGAAGACACTCTAGATGAAATGTCTGTCTGTTACGGGGTAAAAACACTCACACACATAATCGGGCGCTATAGGCAATTGAGAACTTTCTAGCTACATGATTTTAGACTGTGACAGGAAACTGGTGTAACTAGAGGTACCTGTTTTTATTCCATTTCTTAGAGGATGAACTGAAATTAAAGTCTTTAATAAAAACAGTGCTAAATGTTATGGCTCCTGAACAGGAAGTGAATGACGGACTAGTAGCATTAAAATTGAGAACTAATTTGTGCTGTTACATGAACCCATAGGAATCTACCAGAAGCAAATTAAGGTAAGATAATTTGTAAGGTAAGATTTTTATTTACAAGTCATGTATTCATAATGTTCCTTTAGGCTGTATGGTACTGTATATGACTGTTGGTAATTACATGATTTTCATCCATCCATCTTGCAGCCAGTTATCCAAGTCAGGGACTGAGGGGGGCGGAGATAGGATGCCTGTCCATCACAGGGCACACACACACACACACTATGTGCAAAATACAGACAGTGTTAAGCTTACTAAATGTCTTTGGACTGTGGGAGGAAACCCACGCAACATGCAGAGAACATGCTAACTCGACGCACAGCGGAAGGCAGGCAGGATCCAACGCCAGCGCTGGATGGAGGCGGGAGACAGCAGAGCTATGCACTGAGTCACTGTGTCGCTCACGTTAATTACAACGCAGGTCGAACTCAAGACAAAGAGCTCAGGTAGTGGGCCACAGATCTGAGGCATTACTGCTAGCTTAGACTGCAATGACATACGTGATCCAAGTAGTTCCAGATGCCTCCACAGTGTGTAGAGCACTGCGGCACACATCGTCTTTGCTGCTGTTTTCCTCTCAAAATCTTCACGTTACACCTCTCCTGGGTTCCATTAACCAGACTCCATTTGGAACCTGCATCAAACTCAAGGCCCCCATACTTACATGGACCGTTGTCAATAGAAACACAGCGCCTTACCACCAGGACTTCATCAAAGCCAACACCGGGCTTTTGCAATGTCTGAATAACTATGAATTATATTCCTGTCTCTGTTTGAAAGCATGTGCTTTCAGAGTCTTCTATTCTTCAAAAAAGAGCACAGTACAAGCACTGAAACTGTACCAGCACTTTAGACTGCAATACCAAAATATGAATACCGTTTGTGCTGTGATGTGTAAAGCTGAATACATTTCTTCTATTATATTGCTTGGTTTTATTTCAGACTTATTTACCACCACTCAAATCATGCATTTGCACGGAGTCCCAAAGGTTGGCCCCCTGCTGGCCATGAATAGTCACTACACTAAGGGAGGCTCAATAGCTCTATTTCTTTAGTGTGACATCTGATGTCACCATTTGACCAAACTAAAGTGTGAATATAGCATGGATTATAGAATGCAATCCTAGATAATAGAAAAGTAAAGCGTATTTGTGTATCTTAATTAAAATGGGACTATTTACATTGAAGGTGAGCTTGAAGGAAATCATCAATGCTGAATTTCTGATCCCCTATAATATAACACTGTGGCCAGTATGCCCAGCTAATGAAGTTATAGGACTAAATCCAATCAAGACAAAATTCCCCTGAGTTGTATTCTATTGTTTCTGAGAGTTCTGCAGAGCTAGCTTTTTATACGTTATTATTTGTACATTTCACGTTTTTCAAGTTCAGTTATTTATACAGTATAGGTATTTTTTTCAAGTGACCCGTGTAGGTGGAAATAAATCCGAATCATTAAGCACTGTCATTACATGTGACAAAATCGAATGCATGGGCTTTCCTTTTGCTCTTAAATAACTCATTTAATTTTTTGTGAGTCACCTGCCCTTTCGGTATGCTGTTTTTGCGTGTTTGTCAGATGTGTACGTTGGTGTAATTTCAGTCTTGGCAATTTCAGCAGAGTGATATGTATTCATGTGCAGTGTGTAAAGGATGCAAAATAACAAAGCTGGTGAAATCCAGGAATTAGCAAAAACAATAATGAAACAATTATGAATCTCACAAAATATGATGTATGAAACCACAGTCATTACAGTATGGGAAAGTTATTAGAAAATTTAATAGTAGATGATATGCATTACTGAACATAACAAATGATACCATTTACAGGAATATCTCTTTGAAATGTACTCCTAAATCCGTTTTTTTCTTTGCTTTCTTCTTTTACTCAGCTCTACTCGTCCTTCTGTCAGCCAGAGAGACATCTAAGACTGGGACAACTGCACGAGCAACAGAAGGTGTGTTTAACTCTCTTGCAAAAAAAAAAAAAAAACTGTCAGATGCAAATAATTAATGCTACTTATTGTCTGACAAGGCTATCTCCACCAGTCAACATGCACTCATGAATATTTCAGAAAATTATATTATAAGGCTTTATCTGAGGACCGGAGCCAAGACAGTGTAATAGATACAGAGACATGAAAACACAGGACAGTCCTTTCAGCCATTACTAGTGTAGGGAAAAACTACATAAGGAAGCACTGAGTATTGGGGATGTCACATTAACTGACTGCAAAATAAAACTAAATAATATACAAATATAGGACAGGGGTGATTCTGGGATTTTTTTAAGGTGGGGTGCATAAGAGGGGCCATAATTCATAGAGAGGCCAATATTTACTTATCATTAGCCAATAACATGTTTTGAATTGGTGAGTGACAGGGGAGAGGGCACTCGGCCAATCAGCTTTCAGCTGGCAGTAATGCCGCTGTGGCCCCGCCCCCTGCATACACTCCTGAATGTCAAACAGGTGAAAGAAGTCAGGGAGTTTTTTCACCTGATTCTCAGGACATCCACTCCCCACATTTAACACTATTGTCCACTCTTATTAAAGAAGTCTTAATTGAGCTCTATGTGGACACAGCGCAGAAACATTTCAACATAAACATGTGGTTTTTAATTATTGGGCACGACTCTAAAAACATTCCATGTAAACATTGTAAGTGGCCAGTATGGGAAGGAGAAAAAAGGATCTGATTGGGCATTAGAAGCTCATCTCTCCTAATCAAACAGAGCTTTTTAGGGTAATTGGGAGAGCTGCCCAAACACACCATTTCTGAAAGTAGCTGAAATGCATAATGGAATAACTACCAGATGCGGCAAATTACCCATTTCTGAATAAAATAGGTATGTATCTGGGTAACACGGATTCATGCAAAGCGTTGTTTTGCTTGTAGAGCAAGGATGGATGACACACTTAATGAAGCATGTTTTGCTAATGTAAATGTCGACAATCGACAAGAGACAGTAAACGCAGAGAGATATATAAAGCTATTTCATACTCTAAATGGAAGGTTAAAATCTGTGTATCTCACAGGCTTTCTGCTATTTGTGTGAATGTGTGTGTGTGTGTGCGTGTGTGTGTGTGTGTGTGTGTGTGTGTGTGTGTGTGTGCGTGTTCTTGTGACTGTATACGATGCTACCATACACATTATAATTAACATAACTTTCATCAGTTTAATCATTTTATGCCAGCAGCTAATACATACAGCACACTTTCTAAGTGTTAACAGTCTGTATCCTTTTAATTATGAAAACACCCCTAATTTATTACACTTTTTAATTTTTTTATTTTACTTTATTTAGCAGGCGTTTTTACCCAAAATGATGAACGAGTGAAGCAAACAGCACATGACATACATTATTAATTTGTTCAACATAATGATCGAACAGCTATCCTACTAATAGCTTGTAGTCCACACACACACACACACACACACACATATATATGTAGTATTTTTTTTCCCCCATTTTATAGGAAAACTACTATATGGAGGATCACGCTGAATCTCATTCTACTGTGTACAATGACAATAAAGGAAATTCAATTCAATTCAAATTCAGTCCAATATATTGGGTGTCAATATTTATAAACAGTGTTTCAAAATCCAGTATAAACTTCTTTTTCTCTGTATTCTCCTGCTGAAACTTACATGCATTATAATGCACGTCAGGGCTGCCCTTTTGTTACAAGGCTTTATTCTTATTCCAGATTACAGCCTCTTAACAGAAAACATCCAGTTAAACTTCCCCTCCCTCTAATAGCATCATACCCTGCGCCTCAGTATAAATCAATATGAATATTATCTCATGCATGAAACGGTGGGTTTTGTATGTATGGATATGAGGGTGGCAATGTTCCCTTGTCCAAAGTCCATAGAAAACAGCAGCCAGCTGAGTAAATTAGGTTGTGTATTTACCTGTCTTGGGCTCCACTGAGAAATACGGCTGCCCTTGAAGGATGCTGTAGACGACCCTGGCGCTGTTTCCATACGTAGGGTCGTCTGCATCCGTCGCCGCTACCTGCAACACGGACGTCCCTGTGTACAAACAAAACAGATCTGTCACAAGATTAAGTATAAACCAAAGGGTTAGTTTCATTGTTCCGATTGTCACCTTGATTGCAAAGGTAATACTTAGCAATTACATTGCTGCAACCACCACATGACGAACCACCACAGGGATGAGAACCTGAGTGCAGCCATGTGGTGGGTGATACCTCAGCACCACACTAGTCCGAATGGACCAGTGTGAGGTTTTTTCTAGTGGCTGGAGTGTCGATCCTGCCACCAACCACCAAATTTCCCTGTAAGTTGGAGGACCTCCTTATAGGGCATAATAAAGATAAATAAAGTATAAATATACAATATTTTTATAATTATTTAATACAGACAGAAAATATTCCTATGATTGTATTATAGGAGAGTGATATTTTGCAACTCTAAGATCCAGTAATGTCCGGTTCTCCCTTACACTGTGTCGCTTATAATTTCAAGTCCTTCAGATATTTGGGGCTTTGTGTGGGAGGATTACAAAAATCAACTTGGTTTCATTTTAGAGTAAGTGCTGCTACTATCTCAGAGGGTAAGTCCATTATGAAACCACCATTGTTGTGCTGGCATTGAGAAGTGCTAAGGCTGGAAGGAGGAGAGAAGATAAGGAGAATTGCCATGGGAAACGGCATATTCTTAATACTTTGCAGTAAATGACTATGCAAAATAGGCCAATCCATCCATCCATCAATCCATCCAATAAACTTTTATCCTGGTCAGGATTGTGGGGAATACACAATAGGTCTTCAGTAGAATGACTTCTGTGTTACTAGTTCATTTACTAGCTTAACTATCTAGTAAAAGAAATCTGATTATTTTGTGGAATATTGTAAACAATGCTTTCTCATGCCAATCACATGTGTTTGTAATAAAAATAATGATGTTTTATGATGTCTGAACTGCACATTAGTCGAAACAACAACAGTTTTCTGTTTTCCCCTGAACATCCAGGTAATTAAGTGTCTAGTTAGCTTTCTGATTAATAACTTTGCTCTTTAACCTCACAATTACATTTTAATGATGCAATTGAATTAGTCTCTAAAAGCAAGGAACTGCTGCTCTGCAAGAAAAGATGACCTCTCCAATCTAACTACCTAACTGACTGGGAGCTTGGGACTGCTACTTCCATACAATCTCTTATAAGTTTTACTTTTGCTTTGCTGAATGATGTATAATATTCAGTTAATGAAAACAAGATATGTTTCTCATGCATTCTGAGCACATTTCCAAGCTAAGGGACTGTGATCCAGAAGATGGAAAAAAGAATAATAAAATAAGTAAATTTAAAGAAATACCAGGTTTTTCGAGACACATATGAGAATAATTAATTGCTAACTGTGTGCCTATTACAGTGTTTCTCTGTCCTTGGTCAACGATCTGTGCATGTACTTATTTACTTCCTGGAGTAACTTAAAAGAACCAAAGATACTGTAGCACTTCACAGTCTCGTTCTCTGGCTGTTCCCTACTGGTACCAGATGAGTTCCCCCAAAGTCAAGAACACCAAAGATGATTCTATGATTTTTTTATTTTTTTTTTAACGTGGGGCATTAGAGGGCCCATAAGTCATACAAAGGGGCCAATCTTATCATTAGCCAAGAATGGACCAAGCAATGATAAGCTTTGAATCGGTGATTGACAAGGGAGGGGCCACTCCGGCAGCCAATCAGATTTCAGCTGGGGCCAATGCCCCTGTGACTCTGCCCCTGTATATGCCCCTAAGAAGACACAACAATAGTTTCACTTATGTGTACATACAGCACACAGTCATTAAATATTAAGAAACATCCACATAATATTCTAACTTCTTTCAATTATATCTAAAGATGAAGGTGATTATTGCATTACCTATGCAAAAATAAATTCACTCATTTAACAAAAGTAATTAAGATGCCAATTCCTACTGAGGAAAAGGTTAGGAGACCCTATGTCCTAATAGGTCATATTTCCCCCTTTGGCTGAAATAACCTCAATGAGACATTTCTTATAACCATCTATCAATCTCTGATATTGACTGGCAGAAAGTTTTCCCCACTCCTCAATGCAGAATTCCTTAAGCTGTGTGATGCTTGAGAGGGGTTACATGCATGCACAGCCTGTTTCAAATAACCCAAACAGTATCTCAATAAGATTAAGATCTGGTCTTTGACTTGGCCATTCTAGAACTCTCCATTTCATTCTTTTGAGCCGTGCCTTAATGGATTTACTGAAATGTTTTGGGTCATTTTCATGTTGCATGGTCCACCTCTGCTTCAGCTTCAATATTTAGACAGATGGTCTCACATTGTCTTCAAGTACCCTCTGATACAATGAACAATTCATAGTGGATTATATGATGGTAAGCTGGACAGACCCTGCTGCAGCGTCCTCCAGCGGCGGAGGAAAAAAAGGTGTAATTGTGCTAGCACGATTGTGGGCAATCTTATCCGCAAAGGGCCGGTGTATGCAGGCTTTCGCTGCAACCCCCTAATTAGATTACTAATTAGAGGACTGATTGGCTGAAGAGTCCTCACACCTGGGTTTGAACAGCGGATAAGGTTGACCACCCCTGGGTTATGGCATAAGCCTGGACTTGGGGGATAATGCTTGCAGATGCCTCACTTAATGAAAACCAGTTGGCTCTAAGTGATTACCTCGTTAACGGTACAAAGGGTCAGTTGGGTGGTTGCGGGGGACATACTCCCCAAGGAAGTCTGCTGTGTCTGGCCTTGTGAGACAATTGTTAATTTAGTATAATTTCTTCTTTATTATTATTATTTATTTATTTTTAGCTTTTTTGTACTTTCTAACATACTTTAACATTTAATTCTGCAGATTATTTTTACCCATATTCCCATCTGTCTCATCTGCTGCAGAATTAATTTCACAAGTTACCTGCTGCAGCTGTGCTTATTCTCCATGGCCACACCCACTGCTAGATGGTTACGATCTGTATTCACCCAAACCCACAGCTAATCTATAAATCTATTTAAACTTTATGTGATTAATGCTCCTTGTTCAGTACTGGGATTTGGGTATATCGATGCATTCATGCTGGGCTGTTCTCTTGCTCAGGCCTTAATGGATTTCTTTGTTCGCTGCTACAGCTTAGCATGTTGGTTCCAAACCTTGTGTGGTTCCATAAC